AATTTCAGAGGAAATAAAGATGTTAGATTGAATTTCCAATTTTATCAACAGAAGTACTAAAATGGTATCTAGCACTCTATGACAAGCTAAAAACAATGAGACAAACCTCCCACCCACAAAGGCTCACAATCTAAAACAGAAGAGACAGATAAAAGTGATTAGGACAAATATTAGCATGATTAAGTCTAAAATAAGCATCTATGCACAGTTTGTACAGGATGAAATAATCCATCATTTCCCTGGTTGTGGAAAACTTACCAGATATATACTTACTCATTGTTTCATGTAGCCATCCATCCATATACTATTGTAACACTGTAAACATTCTGAGTGTCAGGTTCCATTATAAGCACCAGGCATATGGCAGTGAACAAGATGGATAAAGTGTCCTTGCCCTTATGGAACTTAAATTCCTTTGGGGTTGGGGGGGTGCAATTTATGAAAGAATAAAATGGAGGGAAATTTCAGATTGTGAGTAGCTCTAAGAGAAAGGAAGGAAAGATGTCAGGGTAACCCTCTCTGAGGAGCTGACATCTAAACTGAGACCTAAAAATTGCAAGTTATGAAGATCTGGGAGAGAAGATCCCAGAGGGGAAAGCTAGTGTCAAAGCCTTCAGATAGAAGTGAGCTAGCAGTGCTCAACAAATAGGCAAAGGCCGGGCACGGTGGCTCACGCCTGTAATCCTAGCTCTCTGGGAGGCCGAGGCAGGCGGATTGTTTGAGCTCAGGAGTTCGAAACCAGCCTGAGCAAGAGCGAGACCCCGTCTCTACTAAAATTAGAAAGAAATTAATTGGACAACGAAAAATATATAGAAAAAATCAGCCGGGCATGGTGGCGCATGCCTGTAGTCCCAGCTACCCGGGAGGCCGAGGCAGGAGGATCACTTTAGCCCAGGAATTTGAGGTTGCTGTGAGCTAGGATGATGCCACGGCACTCTAGCCCGGGCAACACAGTGAGACTCTGTCTCAAAAAAAAAAAAAAAGAAATAGGCAGAAAGTCAGAGAGGGGCCAGGTCATCAAAGACTTTCAGGAACTCTGCATAGTTTTCTAATTTCAATAAAAAGAAGGAGAATAAAATAATCTGGTTTTAAATGTCACTGATGTGGAGAATGGATTGTATGAGATAAGACTGGCAACAGGGAGAGATAAGGAAACCATTTCTTACATAACCATCCAGGCAAAAAAAACGCTATTGCCTTGGACTGTGACAGTAGCAGAGAAGATAATAACAAGTGGTCAGATTTAGGATACACTCTGGGGATAATTCTCATAAGATGTGCTGATAAAATGGATAGGGGTTGGTAGGTAGAGGGAAGCCGGAAGCACAAAGGGTGGTGTCATTAACAGAGATAGGAATGGATGGGCAGGAACAGACTGGGAAAGTACTCAGGGTCAGGTGATAGAGATCAAAAGTTGTGTTTTTGGACATGTTATGTTTGAAGTATGTATTAAACAATTAAATGTACATAATACAGTAGCAGTGAGATACACAAGTCTGCGCTTAATGGAAGTTGGGGCTAGGGATAGAGATCTTAATCGGTAGTCATCAGTGTACAGATGATCTGTAGACTGAATAAGACTGACCACAAAAGTGAAGATAGCTATTAACAGATTCTAGGAGACTGGACCTAAATCATGAAGAAAATGATAACTAACATCTATTCTCCTGGACATTTATTTTAAATTTAGCCCTTTATACGAATTTTCATCTTTAACCCTTAAAAAAAAAGAAAACTTACGAGGTCTTAACATGATTATCTCCTTTTTGGAGATGAAAAACTGAGGAGATAATGGAACCAAGACACTAAGAAGCAGGACGGGATTTGAACTCAAACCAACCACAGAATCTGAATTTACACTACTCTGAAAGCAATAATACTAAATAACAACGAAGATACAAAAAGCAGTTAAACACTGAAAGCAAATCAGAAGTTTCTGCTTGTATGAAGGGTAATGATGAGTTTACCCAAAGGAAAGGATGCAAGTGTGCTTGAAAAATGAGGAGTTTTATATTGTTTGCATTTAATTTCAGGGATTGGGAAAACAAAGTGCTTACAGACCACAGAAGAGGTCAAAAGAGAGTGAAGAAAACAAGAGAGCAATAAAAGAAGATCTGGGAATCCATCTGTGTATAAATAAATCTTTAAAAGATCTAATAAACTGCATAAAATTATGAATTCATATTTGAAAGCAAAGCTAGATTTTCATAATCTTCCCTTTTCATTTCATGTTCTTTGGAGAAAAAGCTTAAATAAATCACAAACAAAAATTTCAATTAAAAACATTATGTGGTAATTGATAATTTTATATCGACACAAAGCTCTATTTTTACTGCTCTCTCCTTCGTGTGTTCCTGCCATAAAGCCTGGACATGAGCCTGAGGCTGCCGTATCCATTTAGCCAAATAACTTAGGATATCAGCCAAAGGTTCAGGCCCTGGGTGCTTTCCATTGAATTTAATACATTCAAAGTAGCTTTTTTACTCTTAAGTTTCTTCCTATTCAAGATGAAATGCATTGAGAATTGCCCTGTCTCGACTGCCAAAAAAACCTCAGTGCAGCTGCACCTCACACACCCACACAAAAACCTCAGTTAAGAAAACAAGATAAGATTCTCTCTCTCATTTCTATGACTGTTAAGCAGTAAAAGTCCCTGATCTAAATACTTCAGCACATCAAAATATCCCCCTCCAATAAGCCAGTACAGAAAGGAAGAAAAATCAAATGAAAAAGAATAGATAATTAAAAGGTCCAAATCCTAGCATTAGTCTACCTCGTAAATAAAAAATTGTAGTGGTTTCCTTGACAATAAATCTTTAAAACAACAAAATTCTAACATAAAACAATTTATCTGGGGAGGAGGTTCACTTCCTCCTTTTGCTGTGGTTTCTTTGGTGATGCCTAGTAAACGCCCTCACTTCTCTTCTCATGACCAGGAGTTGCATTTTATATTAGCTTTCTCTGCTCCAAATTCTCTACTTTTCTTTCAATTTTTAGAACAGATTATACCCTGTCTTTCCTCAGGGCCTTTGTACATGCTGTTTCCTCAGTATGAGACCCTTATCTCCATCCCTCTGCCTCTTCATTGCCTATTTATTAAACTTTCTTATCTTAGATAAAAGTTTAATTCCTCAAGTGAGCCTTTACAAACATTGCTATATGATCACATATCCCTCTCTACTCTTTATGCACAGCATTTAACTAATTATAATTATTTGTATGATTATTCCTTCAACATCTTTTTATTCTACTAAAGTATACATTTCTTGCTCACCACTTGGTACACAGGGGCTCAACAAATTATTTGTTGGATGCTCTTGAATAAAGTAGAACATGTTTAATTGATAAGTATAAGAAATCTATTTTTACATTTTAGTGAGAAGACCCAAATAAACAGAAATAGGTATTTGTC